AAAAGTCAAAGATAAATTTTTACTCGAATTCGAATTTATAATTCGAAAAAGGCACCCATATAACTACGGCCAAAAAAGTAAAAGACAAACTTTTATTCGAATTCGAATTTATAATTCGAATAAGGCACCCATATAACTACGGCCAAAAAACTCAAAGATAAATTTTTACTCGAACTCGAATTGATAATTCGAATAAGGCACCCATATAACTACGGCCAAAAAAGTGAAAGATCAACTTTTATCCGAATTCGAATTTATACTTCGAATAAGGCATCCATATAACGACGGCGAAAAAAGTAAAAGATAAATTTTAATTCGAATTCGAATTTATAATTCGAAAAAGCACCCATACAACTACGGCCCAAAAAGTAAAAGATAAACTTTTATTCGAATTCGAATTTATAATTCGAAAAAGGCACCCATATAACTACGGCCAAAAAACTAAAAGATAAATTTTAATTCGAATTCGAATTTATAATTCGAATAAGGCACCCGTATAACTACGGCCAAAAAAATAAAAGATAAATTTTAATTCGAATTCGAATTTATAATTTGAATAAGGCACCCATATAACTACGGCCAAAAAAGTAAAAGATAAATTTTAATTCGAATAAGGCACCCATATAACTACGGCCAAAAAAGTAAAAGATAAATTTTAATTCGAATTCGAATTTATAATTTGAATAAGGCACCCATATAACTACGGCCAAAAAAGTAAAAGATAAATTTTAATTCGAATAAGGCACCCATATAACTACGGCCAAAAAAGGGAAAGATAAACTTTTATTTGAATTCGAATTTATAATTCGAATAAGGCACCCATATAACTACGGCCAAAAAAGTAAAATATAAATTTTTATTCGAATTGGAATTCATAATTCGAATTCGAATTTATAATTCGAATAAGGCACGCATATAACTACGGCCAAAAAAGTCAAAGATAAATGTTTACTCGAATTCGAATGTATAATTCGAATAAGGCACCCATATAACTACGGCCAAAAAAGTAAAAGATAAATTTTAATTCGAATTCGAATTTATAATTCGAATAAGGCACCCATATAACTACGGCCAAAAAAGTAAAAGATAAATTTTTATTCGAACTCGGATTTATCATTGAACTCAAGCACCCATATAACTACGGAAAAAAAGAGCGATACATTAGTTCTTTACGTGCTCAGAGTGAAAGTTTCCGAAAAAAAAAACGGCACATTACTTAGAATTTTCGAGGAAGAAAAAACACATATAGAACACATATCTAGGAATAGTCGGATTTACAATATATGCATGATCCTGCTGAAGTGTATGCGATACAAGAGACACAGCTAATACCAGCCAAGGCCAAATTATAAGCTGTTGCACAGATATAGGAGGTGGATAGATATACAAGACATAAGCAGTACCATACTATGGGATATATAATTCCAACCTGAATTTAATCAGAAAAAAGAGCACTTGATTTCAAATTGTAATAAGGGACTAAGGGGAGGTCAAGAAAAGTGAGCTCCAAACCGCGTAAATTTCAAATTACGAGCTCACCCAAGAAACGAACTGTGATGCCAGAGGCATCGTCTGAGATGCCAGAGGCATTATCTGAGATGCTCGCGGCATCATCTGGGATGCTAGAGGTATCATCTGGGATGCTAGCGGCATCACCTGCGATCCTGTAGGCATCACCTGGGATGCTAGTAGCATCATCAGGGATGCTGGACGCATCACCTGGGATGCTAGAC